AAAATAAAAGCTTAGCTGATCATTCCCATTAGTTCCTGTCTTGGCAGGTATCAGGGCAACGATCAGGTCACTAGGCAATTGGTTATTTTAGATCCAGCAATAATAATCACACCAGTAAATAAAGGGATTTTAAGCTTTATTATCAGCTCTTCAAAAAAGAGTTAAAAGCATAATATAAAAAGCATACATAGCAAGCAAAATGACAGGACTCCTTAATAAGGGCAAAAATACCCCACTGGCAGTCAATTTCCACGGTACCTAATGCCAAGTTCTGTGCCATAAACCATACAATTCTTAAGGTTTTTATCAAAACCTGACACTATGACTTCATGGCTTTGCTATGGTTGGGAGGCTGTAAGAGAGGAGTATCAAACTCACGTTGTCATGGCAGCATCACATGACATATTGTGACTTTTTTCCCCTTCACTAAACCGGGCGAGGGTATAGCTAGCATGCGACGCATTTGGGCCACGGACCACGTTTGACAGTCCTGCAGGAAGACCTGACCTTGACTCGCTAGCAAATGACTCTGGGATGGGAATTGAAGGTTTGAAACTTTGCAACTTTGAAGCTACGTGAAGATAAACTCATCCCTTTTCCTTTGTTCAGCCAGGAAAACAAGGAGGCTAGCTCAGGTTTAGCTTTGAACTTATACTTTCCTTAATATGAAGGAGAAATCAAAATATATCACTAACTCCTCACAATGATAATGGTCTTCCTGCATCGCCACTCCACTTCCTTAGTCAAACAAATCAGAGCAGCCCATTTCACTTATTGAAGACCACAGAATATGCTCTTTCCAGGAATTGATATCATTAAAGTAGTCATGTGAAGATTTTGCTTTCAGACACTAGAGGTCACTCGTGTCTGTAATTGTGCAGCATAATAGGAAGGTGTTCAGGCAAGAAAAATAGCATTAGAAAATATCTTGGACAAAGGGAACTCTACAGAGGAACCTTGAGTGAGCGGGGAGGGTAGTTTTACCCGTCTTTTGATATAGGGAACAAATGCCATCACGCTCCATTGTGTTGAATTACTGCTCCTTCCCAATCTTTCAGCAAGCAAACACACCTGGAGAAAAATAGGAAGCAGCTGGAAATCCAGGGGAAGGTTATTCTGTCTAAAAACACCCAGGATGCAAAGGCTGAGCCTAATAAAGAAATAAAATTATTTTTTAATTCTTGTTATAGTCAGTCTTTCCATCTGCTCTTTAAAGCTCCAAATGTAGAATGGTCAGCTTTCAAAAGTCACTCAAGGGGTAAACAACCTAATCTCTATTTCTGTTTCTTAACATTTCTCATATTCCTTCCTCATCTTTTTTTTTTCCCTACAAGAACCTTGTCAGGTGTGTTGGGCTGAGACAGAATGCTGGCCTAAGGTCACCAGGTGGCTTTCATTTTCTTTCAATTGCATTTTACCTACCTACCAGAACAGATTCCTGCACAAAATCTTATGCTGATTAAAATATAAGGAGACACGTAAGATACAAGTAGTCACCAATTTACAACAGATCATTTAGTGACCATTTAAAGTTACAATGGCACTAAACAAAATGACTTATGACCATTTTTTAACACTTATGATCATTGTAGCATCCCCCTGGTCATGTGATCACCTTTTATAAGCTTCTGCCAAGCAAACTCAATGGGGGGAGCTCAATTCACTTAACAACTGTGTTACTAACTTAATAACTGCAATGATTCACTTAACAACTGTGACAAGAAAGGTCATAAAATGGAGAAAATTCACTTAACAATTGTCTTGCTTGGCGACAATAATTTTGGGTTCAATTGTGCTTGTAAGTCAAGGATTACCTGTATACAATAGGATCCTCACAAGCTTTCCTTTTATTTTATTTTTTGACATCAAAGAATGCTGGAAAGGAATGATATCAAACAAGGAAGGACGTTGTCTTTGAAAGTGTGGAACATGGAACAAGTATGACGGGTGCTGGGAGAAACTTGGCAATAATGGAGCGGATCATGAGACCAAGGCCTACAAAAGAAAACATTTTTTTTAAAAGCCCAATGCGCTTCCTTCCTCAATAGAGACACATATCATGGGCTCCTCCATTTTATAGTAGGTCCTCTGTCTTCCTCCCAGTCTAGTAACCCAAAATTAAGCTATCATTGATTAGGGAAAATTTCAGAAGGTTTTCCCACTTCATTAAAAGGTAATGTAATTTGCTAATTTAGATTTAGGCTATGTGGTCTTGAAGAATGAGTAGTCGCTTCCCTTGTTAATCTCCTGCTTTAAATCATCCTTTCTGAAGCTGCTCTGTTCCATTTTAAACTGCTGACACTCCTCTTACACACACATGGTCACAGGACTTTAGGAAATGCATTTAACTCACTGAAATTACAAGATAAAAAATTTCAAACCAAACCCAAAATGGTAGCCAGAATCCAGTCCAGCCTTTATATTTGAATGTTTATTTTAAAATTCTTGCGTATCATCTTATTTACCTTGATTGTAAGAAACATATAGTCTAATTTAACTAAATCCTGGTGCCCAGGATCAGTATCAAATCCTTGAAAACTAACATGTAGGCCTAAATGGTCCAAAAGAGTTCATGTGTAGCTATGAAACAGTTGGTAATTATTTCAGCAAATTATTCTTAGAGCTGCAGCATGATTACCCAGTGATAATTATAAACAGGCCATCTACAAGTTGTTCAACCATCTGGCAGACTTCGGCAAAAATAGCTCCTATAATTGTAACCAACTGACAATTAAAAATCTTCTTCTATGTGCTTTAATATAATTTGTGGTATTAACTTCCTCCTTTCCTGATATAGTATAATCTGATAGTACAAATGATGTATCAAAAAGAATGAGGCCCATTGGAACACATTTGAATATTTTCACAACACTTTTCATTAATTTCTTACCAAGAAGTTTGTCCTATGACTATGTATCTTCTTGTGAACTCTAAGCAAGGTGTCATGACCCAACCTGTGACTGCATCCAGATCAGAGATGGTATTCAGCAGGTTCTGACCAATTCAAAGAACTAGCAAATACCACCTCTGACTGGTACTGCCCCCATCTATTATCTGCCTCCCGATTCCCAGCTGATTGGCTGAGTCTTCTTTTGTTGCCCTGCACAGGAGAACAGAGCTGGAAAGCAGGTTAGTGGGGTGTGGAGAGAATGAGGATTTTGCAGTATCCTTCCCTGCCATGCCCACCAAGCCACACTCACAGAACCAGTAGTAAAATTTGTTGAATTCCACCACTGATCCAGATGTACAAAAATTCCATTCACTCAATGTTCCACTACTTCAGTGTGTGTTCCTTTCTCTCTACTGATGTCCCCCCCTGCCCCCATTCTATATTTTTACACGCCTGCTGTGCTTTTTTGATTGGTCATTATGGGGAGAACATTCCAAAGTTGAGAAATATTATTATTCTGTTTTTTACAACCAGGAAATTTCCCCTGTATTCCTATTCACAATAATTAGATGCTAAGGCAGCTGAAGTGGAGGAAAGAATTTTTGAAATGAAAGCAAGAGAGTAATAGTTGGTAAATGTGGGTGACCTGAAATAGCGGAATTAAGTTGCATCATTCATTAAAGTGAAATTTGCCAGAGTAAGTGCTAAGTATAGTCCAACAAATTCAATATTTCAATGGAGCCACATGAAATCACAGTACTATAAATTAAACAGGCAAGTTGAACAAACATTCTAGAAAATAAAGGCAAATCATTGCCAAGAAATTAACCTGGATAAGCCTACTGACATCAGTTAGGCTGTACTTGAAGGAAACTGCATGTACTGTAGGAACATCAGAAACATATCTGATCAATGACCCCCCCCCCCCCATGTCAATGCAAGAAATTTTACTTGGATCATATTACCTGAAATGTAGAAGCTGCCTTACTGGTCCCTCCAGCACATCCTGCTAATTCTAAGATGTCAGAGAGAAGTCTTTCACAGTTTCTGCCCAATTCCTTTAATTATTAATATTTGGAAATTTTCAATTTATATTATTTACTCCCCAAGGAGAGTAAATTTCCTTGTCAATTATTTTGTTCATTAACAAGCATCAGGTTAGACTATAATGTACAAAGACTTTCCTGTGTATTTGTTGAATGAACAAAGAATTATCTCATTGCTTGTATGATTAGATGCCAATTAATTCAATGCAAGTCTATAATGTGCTCTTGACAATTAACTTACAAAATATAGAGGGTTTTATAAGGCTGTAATTGAATAATATGCTATGGATTATACTGCAGACCTCTTCCTCCATACTGTCGGAAGCTGGGTAGGTAGGGTAAAACTGAAGAGCAATGTGTTGTCCAAGGGCACCCAAGGACATCATGATTTAAATTAGATATAAAATAGCTCAAGCACACACTGTGAAACATCCATTTATGGTAGACAAGTTAAGTAAAGACTCACGGAGACGTAATTTATTAATATCATTTGTATTTTGAAAAGCATATCAAAAAGGTTTTAACATTTTTGCTTTTACAAGTTTTACCTTTGTATTGCTTGTTATTATTCTGACATACAAATTATTGCTTGCTAGCTCCATTAATATGTTAAACAATGATATATACAGAAATCAAAACAATTGAACATGTCAAGGGCTCCATTGTCAACTGTATTCTTGTTAAACCAGAGTATTTTATAAATGCCAATAATGCTAGGTAAGTACAAGTATGTCCCTGAGACGTTAGGCAAATAACCTTAGCTTGGACAATCTTTCTGTTACTTTTAACAAAGATTGAAAAATAATGGTCTGGAGAGACTAAAATGGGAAAAATTAAACCAACCATATCAGGGCTGCAAAAATACAAGCAATTGCTAGAAGCAGCAGCAGTTTTATCTTATAGTGCCATCCCAATTATCCAAATCTGTGCGGCAGAGAAGTAAGAAACTTTTTCTTTTTATCTCGAGAGTGCCTTTGTTCCTACCAATGTAAAAAGAACATAATAAATAGGCTATGCAAATAAATAGTAATTGCTACAAAGGTTAATATTTACAACTTGTTTGCTTTTTTACAGCCATGCAAATGTTCATTTATAGTGCCCAATACACTCCAAAAGGTCTTACACTATTCTGCAACAGTGCTTTTTTGTTTGTATAGATATTTCTAGGGTTGATCACCCCCCCTTTTTAATTGTTATTTGTACTCCTCTTATGGGGGCTTATAGCTCTTACAGCAGTTTGAGGACCAAGGGTCATTCCAAATTATATTGCAATCCTATGCACGTTTAATGAGGAACAAGTCCCATCATGTTCAGTGGGGATTACTGTAAAGCATAAAAAACAATTGTATAATTTTGATTCCAATAATCTTCTGAAGCCAGCAAGACTTGGAGTGTACACAAAAGACTCAATGCAGGGACTGTTTCTTTGTTAGACAAAAGTATATCTTAATGATCTCAAGGCTGACTCAGTCGTTGTCTTAAAGTTGGCCTCCTTTCAAGAGATAGTTAAATGAATGTATCAGAAGTAGGATAAAATGGAGATTATACACTACAAATCTGGCTTCTACTCCACTCCCCAAATTGTGGCAAATTGTGTTCTTTTTTTCCCCTGAACATAACCTTGGAGAGAAAATTGTTCATTTTTACAATCTACAGTCAGAATGCACTTCCACAGAAATGCAATTATCTAGTTATTTAGCTCTAAAGTAACAAATACAAAACTGCTTAGCAGGTAATACATTATTGCCCTAAATCAATGTATTTGTTTTCCCTTGTTTTAATATATCTTAAATTATCTAAAGTCCAGTTGACTGCTATATACTCTTGCATAGGTAAAATGAGACCCAAGTTATAACCATAGCTTATTTTTAGGAAATATTTGGCTCATAATTCCGAATAGTCCCTTTAGATAATAATGACAAGAGACCACTGAAATGAAGAACTCAAGTAATGCTGCTTACAACATCTGGCACCAGATAGTCCAGCTCACGAGGTTTGAAAATTATCCAGTTTTTGCTTTACTTCACTAAACATTAAGCTTGCTCATTAAAAGCAGTAACAGGTTTCAGAATGGTAGCAAAATAGAAAAGCCAGATTTGAATTTCTATTAATCTTTTGTAGTCTTAAGACTGCAATTATATGAAGCTGTTAATGGATATATAAAGGCAAGACAATATCTAGAAATAAGAACCAGCCACTTCGTGTTACACATTATTAGTTTTTTAATCTACTAATCCTTCCCTGCAAATCTCACCTTTTCCAGTTAATTTATTCTAGAACTACAAATGTAGAATTCTTATTTGATAAGAATAGTTTAAACTCAACCACTTAACAGAGGCTCATCGTAATACATGGATTGAACAAAAGCTAATTCTTCCCTCCAAATATAACCTTCAGTGGCGTTATGAAGCAAGCCAAATTGCAATGCCTTTTTTCAAAATGTTCAATTCCATTTCTAAAGGTGTGGTTTATTTGTGCGCATAGAAAGCTTATTTACAACAGATGGGACTTCTCCCACTGCAAACGCTATTTTTGTGTGTGAATAAAAATAAAGCTTATAACATATTTTTACTACAATTCCTACTGCCAAACCAAACAGTTGCTCTTCAGCTAACAAACATACTGCTTCTTCAGCTAAGTTGCTATAAGAAAAACATAGTGAAAATTCCTAAATAAATTATCTATGCTGTTTCTAATTTGTTCAACTATCTAAGGAGATATTGTGATGATTTCTATCAAATAATTCCTAGAAGACATTGAATAACTAGTATATTAAGTTCAGAAATGTACATTGTTTATATACTATACCTGTACAGGGTTTTCAATTTTTTGAGAAAGGTCAAATCTAATGGAAAAACTCTTACTTCATTGCAAACAAACAAAAAGCATTCCTTATCACTTAAAACTGATTTTGTCTGTCAATTTTCTATGAAGAATCTTTTGTAGAAAAAGTTCTTGAATAAATGTTGCAAGCAGTACAACAAAGAAAAAAATTCAGGTGTTTTCAAAAGGGAGGTCTAATTTTTAACATAGCCTCTATTGTCAATCAGTATCATCCTGTGGATGTCTATTTTGTTTAAAGCTCCATATAGCATTCCTTTATGCACACTGGAATACATTCTATTTACTGCATTCTTTAGGCAATTTTTTGAGAATACTTAATAGTCTTAAAAGAAGACATCCTGAAGATAGGAACAAATTGCAAACATGATTTCAAGAATGTAAGCCTAATTTTGATATCTCAACATGAAAACCGAGGCACAAGAAATATTACACCAAAGCTACCACTTTTAAGTCACATGTTCAAATTACATTCAAATACATTGCAACAAATCTGTGATTCTCTCACAAATTTGTTACATAGGTTTTAAATCTTTCTCTTCAGAAAACTTTTTTTAATCATAGATTACTATGAATCCAGAATGAATATGCCAATTAAAATAGTATGCTAATTAAAATGTCATACAAGTTGCTAGAAAGTGTTACTCATATCAGTTGTTTTCTGTGCTGCGTTAGGCTGTGACTTTGATAGCATAACTTGTCCTTACAGCAACGTGAATGAAAATCTGCTGTCAGTATGAAACCCACAAGTCTTCACCTTTTCTCTTTTGTAATTGCATCTTAATGAAAAAAAGCTAAGATTTTTTTTTCTCAGACACACTTCGAAAATCATCCATTCATTTCCAATGCAAGTTCTCTGACAGAGTTCTCCTCATCCTGTATATTGGAATTCAACCCCAGCTTTTAACCTTGTAAGGAAAAAACAACAATATGTCTGTTTCTCAAAGTATAATTCGTCTATGGTCAGATTCATGAATTTGGCTTAATACATTGTATGAACTTTTTTCATTTTTGTTTGTAAATTATGTTTATGACTGATAAGATCAGATTTAATAGCTATAAATTATTACTTTAAATGTTAATAATGTCAGTAAGTGTGCCATAGCACTTTTACTTTCTTCTTTTTTTAAAAGTAATTCTGGGGAGTCCACTGTAGTTTTCCAAGTTGCAAGCAACAACCCCACAGTATGACAGGTTCTTTCTTATCAATTCAGTACTGTTCTGCAATCAACGTGCACCAATGTGAAGATAACAGTAATTAGTAATAGCACAGTGAAGTGAACATAGAATAAAATAAACTATATTTGTTTGTAATAAAGCTATAGGCACAACCCTTTTGTGACACTGCTTGCCTCTAATAGAAATACTAAGGAAAGGACCAAACACTTAGGTGGTTCTAAAGTTTAAAAAGCATTACCCACAAGAAATATTAAAGGCAGAGTGCTCTAAATTCTAATCCAGCATGAAAGCACATAATAGATTACCATAATTGATGCTTGTGACATTTTGCTTTATTAGACAGCACATTTTGAAATACTGTACAAGATGTTAAAGTATTAACTGTGCTTACATTTTAAATTCTGTTAGGTATCTATATTCTAACAATTTGTCTTTCTTTATGCTTTAATCATAAAGTGGATGCCAGCACGTATCTTGGGGATGATTCATCAATACTGCCCTATACTTTCTTTTTGGCACCAGAATAAATACTTAGGGCAGCTTATGATTAGTGAGGTATATCCCCATGTGCCAAATTATCAACATCTTCCTCAAAACAGTGCTGCTAGACCCTTATAAGGATAGAACATTTTATTTCAATTTACACTGAGTTGGGACTGAAAGCTGTTTTGAACAAAAATGTTCAAAGAAAATAAGGTTTTCAATATGGTGAATCATTTCTTCACTCTGTAGCTAAGTAGATTTGGCATTTTTCATCTTGGAAGTTTGTTGTGAAGATCATTTCCTCTTGCTTTCCATGAAAGGCCAATGTGTAGTGTGGCACCAATTACTGATAAAACTCAGTAATCATCAATTTCTTAGGAAAACAAGCTTGGCACATAAATATTCACTGAACTGAAAGTGCTGGAATTATGTAAGTATGAATTCATATACGAGGTTCTATCCTGTGAGAAAGCTCAAACAACATCTGCTGGTTGTCAATGATATGCAAATAATGGACGTAGGGCTTCAGCTCCTCATGCTCTTTGGAGGGTATATCATTTCCTACAGTTTTGTCAAGAGAAAAATAATAGATCAGTCACCCTGCAGCATTTTTATAAAGGCATACTTTGAAGTTTAATCAACAATTTATCTTAAGGAACTCCTGAACTTCACATTTTTATTTCTAGAAAATAATGGAAATTTTCTAATGATTTCTAATTTCATAGTGATCTATGAATGCTCTCTTTGTGTGACTTCTACATTAATGAAGAATATAAAGTAGGCCTGTCATTACATTATTCAGTATGTGAAGACTGCACAAACATGAACAAACTTTTCACCATTAACCGAGATAAAACTGCACCCCAAAAAATCTATGAAGATTATATTGAAAAAGCTGTTCTTCCAATCTTTTCATTGTATGCTGGTTCATGTACTAGATAAAACACTCAAGATGTGGAAATGATTTTGAGCAAATTAAAAATACTAACAACTATTTATGTGAATATATAGGATTTTCATTTCTTGACATTTGTTTTATTCCATGATTTGCATGTATTTGGTGTATGTATGTTGATTTGTAAAAAAAGTGAGATGCCAGATGTTATTAATTTAATGCTCATCAGCCATATTGGTACTGGGAATATGTTGGTATTGGCTGCTAAAGGATATTGGAAATTGAAGTTTAAACTCCAAAATGAATTATTGTCATATTAATATGACAGAAATAATTATTAATATATAACTAGAGATAATCATATTATTTATTTTTAAGTGTAATTTAAATAAAACCAAAAGTTCTTATAACTCATCTATTAATCTTAAGAGTGTAGCTACAGGCATACCAATAAAATATGTGCAGCTGTTGTTAAAAATAGTATTGCCAACCTAATCGCCAATGTCCGATGACAGATATGGCACAAGAAGAAGATACCAATAAAAAAGGAGAGTCATTAGGGCTAAATGAAGTATTCCTGCTTTAGTATGTAAAAACAAAAACAGAGAGAGGTAGGCTCTGATTCCCAAATGTTTAAGATAGATGTATGGGGGAGAGATAGGGGAATCTCTCAAAATATCATTCACTTACCAAATTGGTTACGCCTACAATGCCTCAATGATCGGACTGTGTCTGCAATCATGTGCTGTGAAGATAAAATACACAGATTAATGAGCCAATAAACATGGGAATGACCAGCATGTACAAGCTCCAAATTATGAGGGAAGGAGGGGATCCGCCATAAAAATGGAAATCTGGATTGTATTTGCTCCAGTAATCCTTATACAGATTATTTCAAACATTAACTCATGGTTGCAGGTTTTATTACAGGGGCTATAGGATACCATTTGAATTATCATATTTGTGGGAAGAGGTGGCTGAGCAGGCATACAAAGTTTGTTTATTTTTCCAAAAACCCTCCAACTTCCATTCCTTCCAAAAGCAGAATAGTAATTAATGTGAACAGAAAATATTTTAGCTAGCAAAAAGCAGGAAATATGGCATCAGAAATTGAAGAAGTCGTGAAATAATTCTACCCAATATATCTGGGAACTGCAGGCCTTGGGATTTAATAGTTTTTCAAAAATAAAATAAAATTTAAATGTAAAATTTAAAAGAATGAGTCCTATGCCATTTTTTCCTAGGTAGATCACAAATATATGTTATCAAAGAAAGAAAAAATACACATGCATGATCAGATGTCTGGCTGATATCTCCATTAATATTCACTGATTTATTCTTGGAATATATATATATATTTAAAGTTATTATTCAATCATAGCTGCAATCTCTTAATCAACGTAGGCCAAATTTATAGAGCAATGAACAGATAGGTCTACAAATTAGCCATATGGGAGCATATTGAATAAACAGCACAAAATGCCTAACTTCCTAAAAATATAACAATAATATTTTCCTACATTAACATAGGCTAACATAACCATAATTATTGGTTTGGTAGAAATGTTAATTATGCAGATGTTTTTACTTCTTCAAATGTGTGCTTTCTATTTATATACAGTATAATAATCTAATAATCCCTGTTATAAATATTTACTCCAACCAATAAAAATATGAATATTTCTTCAAGAGAAGAACAAACCCATGCAAAACAGAGAACTAAAATTAATGGTGATGTCTAGGTATTTTATTTTGAGTATGGAAGGAAGCAGATAATTAGGAATAAATATGGTAATTAATTAACAATGTGTGAAATTTAGAATATAAAATATTAACTAAGCTTGAATATCAAGCTTAATTACTTCATGGGGGAGAATACTCAATGGAAAGCTGAAGCAAAGAGAATTAAATTCAATTTTAATATGAAGAAATAAGAGTAAGAAGAAAGGAGGACGTACAATAATAAGAAATGGAAGTTTGACTTTTTATTATGTTGGATTTAGTGGGGAATGATACATACCAGCTTTTCAAAATTTACAAGATTATCCAGAAATGTTTTGTTTCCTTCATGTATAAATGTTACATCTAAAAAGAGACAATTATATATTTTTCAACAACTTTCCATGTCCACATAGTAACAATAACAAAAGACAATGGTAATTGTTACATTTTCATGCATAAGTAAGTATTCAGAAAATTTACTTGTGATAAAAAAAATACTCCAAACTGTACAGTTTTTGGACTTCTAAGTGAAATATTTGAAATCATCATATATGGATAAGGTAATTTACTGGAAACATATCTAATGTGCATCAGTCTCTAGTTCCTATTGGTTACTCTTCTCCTGTTACCTGGTGATTGGCAGCACCAAATTTTGCATTCCCCATTGTCAGTAGACTCACCACGACCACAACTATCAATATTCCTTCTTCGTTTATACCACCACCCAGTCCTATTCAAGGTGGTTCACTTTAGGCATAACTTTCATTCAGATTTTATTCTCATACCAAAAGCTCAGCACAATTAAGTTAGGGAGGTGACTGTCTGCTTGCTATCCCAAAGAAACATCTTCTTCTCTAATTCTTTAAGCTAAAGATCCCTATACCCATCTCTCAAATTATGTGGGGGGGAGGAAGCAGATTAACTGGACGGAATTTATAGTGTATCTTGTTGGTTTTTTCAAAACCAAAGGGAAGAAGCTCAATAAAATGCTTAGGTTAGGAAAATTAAAACAGCAGCCTTCTAAAACATAAATTAGATTAATGTAGCATGAAATGAATTTGTGGAAAATAATACAATGCAACTGCACTTCACAGTTGTTCGTTCTAATATTATTGCAATGTAGATGTGCTGTTTAAATAGTGGTTACTACTTCAGAACCTTCTGGTGAAGGGGGTAGAAAATTTTATTTCTGTTCAACTTTTGATCGAATAGATTTCTCTTTAACTTTTGCACCGACTAAAGGCAACCTAAGTAATTTTCTTCCGGCAATTTTAATTTAAATGGCTGGCGGGGGGAGGAAGACATGTTCGTGCCATATCCATCTATAGAAACAACTTTAGTGAATTGAGGGTTACATCTGAACTTCAAATAATAGTCTAAAGGCTCTTTCTCTAAAAGTGATTGGTATGACTGAGACAGAAACAATTTTTAATTTTAAAAATGTTAATATAATAACATTTAAATATAACAATCCATTTAATTATTATGTTGATTTCCCTTAATAGCTTTTCTTCTCTCAAATGCCACCCATCTGTCTCCTTTTCCACAATAATTGACATTTTTCTCTCCTGGAACTTATATTGTATTATAATATTCTATGATATGTATACCGTTTCATTAGTGATTGTGTTACTGTCAATGTAATAATGAAAGTTTTAACAGCTTTTTTCTTAATAATGTTCAAATCAAGATATAACTGAAAGCCTTGGAAAGAAAGGTTGAAGTAAGAAATCTGCATTGTTGCCAACAATTACAAGCAGAAACAAACCCTGTGGAGCAGATAACTGCCTCTGAGCTGCATTGTAAGAGCAAGAAAAACAAACTAGAGTTAAAAAGCAATTAATTGTGATTTTGTTATAGAAATTCAATTAATTTAAATGATGTACTACAGAACTAATAATATAAAAAAGTGGTTCAATTTTAAAATTTAATATTATTGGTAAAACAAATCAGGGAAACAGAAACACATTTTACTATAAATCAATAAATTTGAATCCTCTGTAGGATTCAAAAGGAGATCTTCCTCCAATTATTCAAGAAGACCAAATTTGAAATTAAACCTGACTCAAAATAAACGCATATACCATAGTTACAACCTAAGGATGTACATATTTACTTAGAAATAAAGCCCAATTATTTTGTCAGCTTTCCTGGCTAGTGCAGGGGTCCCCAATTCTTGGACCACGAGCTATTTGGAACCAGGCTGCTTGCTGGCTGCTTGCGCGGAAAACCCCTCCACCTCCAACCCACCACTCCGGCTATCTGCAAAAAAAGCAGGAAGATTGGGGAACTCCAGGCTAATAGATCTATGTAAGATTGCAGTCTAGAGAGGTATGTCTTAAAAGTTACTTTACTTTTCAATGCCTACAAATATAATCCTAAGTATTACTGAACTTTATTAAAAACCCATTACACTTGACCAAGACAAAGCCTCTAAGTTTAGGATTGCAAACATGCTTAAATTTACCTTTAAGGAGTAAAGGCATGAAAGGGATCTTTGGGGACTTCATTTTCTTGAATGCATCCCTATAGGCTTTGTGGTTCAGAGAGGGATCCTGTTAAATGATTTGACTTTATTAGGAATAGCAGTTTATATTGGTATAAGCTTCAATATGTGTAGATACAAAAGTATTTCCTTTTTGAAAAATAAGGCAGAAACAGTTTCTTAAAGAGGACTAGGTGAAATTGTATATATTCTTATCTAAAATATATCACATTTGTGAAAAGCTACATGTTAAGTGCAACACATCAAAAGTTAGATACCGTATTTGCCGGCGTATAAGACGACTTTTTTGCCCTGAAAAACATGCCTCCAAGTGGGGGGGTCGTCTTATACGCCGGGAGGACTCCGACTCCCACTTCGAGCTTGAGTTGCAGCCGGGAGGGAGGCTGGGGGGGGGAGCGGGGTGTGTGTGTGTGTGTGTGTGTGGCGGGTGTCATTCGCCACGCGCTGCGCAACCTTTCCCCCTCTTCCTTCCTTAGCGGTGTGGGGAGGAGTGGATTCGAAGATCCTCACGTGCGGCGTACTTTTCTTTTTCTTTTTTTCTTTTTGCACGCAGGTTTTGCATGCGGGCGGCTGTAGGTTAAGGATGGGGGAGCCCCCGGGTGGGTTATCAGGTTTTACGGTGCTTCCAACATGTGCGAACGGTGGGAGAGCGGAGAAGAGAGCGAGCGAGCGCCCCGCTGTGTGAAATCCTGCCGTCAAAGCAACACTGGGGGAGGCAGGGTATAAATTTACCAGGTTAATGTAGCAATGGTGATTAATGCCCAGAACATTGTTTGCGGGTATTGGGGTGTGTGTGTGTGTGTGTGGTGGTGGTGAGGAGAGGTTGTCCTTTGAATGCGGAAAAGTAGGTGTGACCTTGTGTAGGAAAATAAAGAGATCCTTTTTAGCGTGTTTGGCTTCTTTGCCTCCCCTCGTTCGTTTTGACGTGGAGATAATGGCCTTCGGGCGGGAGGGGAAGAAAACGGTAGCTGGATCATTTCAAATTTCACTGACTCTCCTGCCTCACTTCAATATGTCTGAGCGACTCCAGATACTGGAAGACTTTTTGAATGAAAGTGTTACCTCCATATTTTTTTTTAAAGAGGGCCACTTGGGGAAAAAAAAAGATTCTAAGGAATTCCTTGTTTCTTGATTAAAGAGAAGGCATTGAATATACTGTTCCTTGGCAGCCTTTTCAGTGTCCGGGTTTTTGGTGTGTGTGTGTGTGTGTGTGTGTGAGAGAGAGAGAGAGAGAGAGAGAGAGAGAGAGAGAGAGAGATCAGCTGTATTGAGAAGAGAATGTTTCCTGTGTTCTCATTTTATTTACAACATATTTTACGCTTAATGGTAAGCAATGAAAAATATTTTTAAAACTCATTTCTAAACTCCATAGCTATTTGCATATTCTTGGTTCAAAATTGGATTAGCTCATTTCAAAATTGTCCAAAGCAGAAAAGTGAGTCAAAAAAAAAAAAAAAGTGCAAAAGTGGAAGGTGTGTGGAAGAGGGGGTAGTCTTATACGGCGAGTATATAACAAACTCTATATTTTGAGTGGAAATGTTGGGGGGTCGTCTTATACGCCCAGTCGTCTTATACGCCGGCAAATACGGTAATTATAGATATATAGTAATTGAATATGTAATAATGCTTCCATTTAGCAACAAAAATACATAGATAAGAAAATTAAAGACTTTTACATAAAGCCAACTTACTGTCAAACTTTCAAGTTCGGCAAAGAGTTTCTTAAACTTTCCAGGCATTCTCTGCAATTAAATATTGCATATTAAAAAACTGGAATTGGAATTAAACATTTGATTCAATCAGTGACTCATTTGTAGTATATTAAAGACATAAACTTTGTCTGGTACTATCTTTCTTAGAGGTTTTTTTAACAAATAACGTTTGAGAGTGACATAACAATTTGTTACAATTCATATGTATTATTTAATACTGCTTATAAGCACTTGAATTTGCATTTATTTAATAATATATTTAGAGGAAGAGGAAAAAGATTATCATCACATGATCACTTTTGTTGAAGAGCGAATGCTATGATCACTGATTTTATCATAGTAGGCTTACTGGAATATTAAAGAGAAAAATCACTGGTGTTATATTTATATGATGAGATTTATCAAATGCAATTTTCTCAACCAAAAAATAATGATAATGACAGCACAATTACAAGAAAACTGAAATATCCAGCAGAAATACAGAAATATTATGTTAGAAAACACTTGGAACTCCGGTAGTCATTATGCAAGAAAATATGTCCTCTCCAATAAACTGAGTTCAATTAAGCTTTTTGAACTTACATTGGTTATACCAAATTTCATCATAGTAATAGTGTACACAATTAACTAACAATATCTATATGTACAGATCTGTAAGTAAGGTTTTGTCGTATAACTTCCTAGGAATTAACTTTTGTTAAATGGATAGAATTTTCCACAGTAATTCCATGTTTTGCAATTCATACTAAAAGAAAAACAACCTAAAAGACATTATCAGCTTCCAAATCAGTTTATAAATTTTGTTTTGGATTTATTTCCCTAAAATGAGGTTTCTTAAATATCTTCTTTCAATATCAGTAATAATGATGAGAAAGTTAAGAATGCATGCTTGTACTAAAGTGAAACCTTTTCTTTTCATATATATCAAACTGCTGAAAAATAATATGATTAAAAATAAATATCTAGAAAAAAAGTAAAACAATAAAATTCTCATATTACCTCCCATGTCTGAGAAAGTCGGCTGATAGAGGCAGTGTTGAGCCCCATGACAATGGCAAAAAATGAATTCAGATTTCGCTGGGCTTTGCAGCTATGAAATAATATCAGAAAAGTAATTTACTTGTGGTATTCAAAGTCACTTATCCCTCTGTTGTTTAAAATAGAGTACTGAACTTATATATTATTTTCAGATAAAATGTATGCAAAGTTATTATTTTCTAAACTTTATTTTTTAAAAGAAAATACTGCTCCATTCTTTGAAAATCACCCCATAATTTTGATAATTCCAACCAATGAAAATTCAAAATTCAAACTGAAATTGATAGGCTCCTACTCCAAAATACTGGATACTTCATAATAACAAAATATGTTTCAGTAAGTATTAGCTTAAGGGTGTGCATACTTATGCAACCACAACATTGTAAGTTATTTATTGTTACTTTTCCTCCTAGGAGGTTTTGATTTGTTTTTAAATTGAATTATGTAACTTATATTAAAGGTGGAAAAAATTCTGAAATGATTTATTTTGATCTAATTTTTTACATTATAAAAACCTGACATTTTAATAGTATAGAGATTTTTTTTAATATCCTCTGTATACAACTGAAATAGGCCATGAAGAAATTAAAGGAAATTAAATGAAACTAATATACTTTTAATAATACTTGGTAGTTGAGTAGGGCTTTGCTTAGAATCACTACATGTACAAAAATACAGTTCCAAACAGAAAAGCAATTGGAGAAATAAATCGTGTATATATAAACAAATGAAACTATAGCGAAGTGTAAAGAAATTATCACTGCGCAATAAATTTTGGATACAGCACAAAATTCTTTAATCAAGCATAGCTTTTCTATGCATACTTCAATGGACAAAGTCAAATTATAGAATATTTTCTTTCATTACTTTCTGTTGAGTGGATTCAACAGGAACCAGCTATCAATATTCATTTAATTTTTAACTTACTGAGCAGCAATTTTAATGAATTTTTTCACTAGTTGTACACGTTTACAGAGCTGGTTGCAGAGTAGTATTTCTGTGGCAACCCAGAGTTGAACTTCATTACATCTTTGAAGCAGAAGACTAAGATTCACAGTATTTTTCCCACTGCCTTGTCGGCTGAAGGTGAAATATATCAGTTCTTGCTGGAAGACAGTTTAAAAGAATGTAAAATGCAAATTAGAATTTAATAATATGAAAAATGTAATTATTGTTGCTTAGTCAGATAACCCATATTACTAACTTGAACAGTAAAGTATTTTGGCAATTACTTTTTTAATTAAAACTATAAAAATGTAATAATCAGATTGTTTGTGACTTAATATCTATTAATCATTGCTGGTTTCAGTTTGAAATGCTTTTGAGAACAGGATTAAATCTGTTTTTCTTTTTTTTATAAAGATATAACTCCTGGGCCGTGGCGCACTACCGGCCTGGAGCCCTTCAGAACTGGGCCGCGGAAGTGGTGGGCAAGCTTGTGCACATCCCCACTCACACAAGCAGTGGGCAAGCACGTACACTCCATTTGCGCAAGCAGCAGGTGAATATGCCCACCATTCGTACAAATGGAACTGTGTGTATATGCACATTTTCCCACCACAGTCACGGAACCACCCCCTGTCCTCCCTCACCAATCCACAAAGCCAAAAACATTGGGGAACCTTGAAGTAAAACCTGCATTTGGCAATAAGCCTGTGGAATGACCCAAAATAATTACAAATAAATAATTACATGAGAAAACATGTTGTGATTCATCAAAGCTAAACAAAACTCAGATTATAGTTAGTGTGCAGATTCATCATCTTACTTCATGAACCAAATTGAAAAGATTCCAGTCAAAAATTGTTAATTCTAAAGCAAGGTCCCAGGTGTTAATCCCCAGAATTTTCACTGATCGTTGGTGGATTTCCTCATTTTCAGCAAAAGGGATCTAAATTAAGACACACAGATAAAAAAGAAGCATATACAATGCAAAGTTAGCTGTAAGAAATGTTTTAAATATTTTTGCATTGAAATCATGATGGCCTCTAATTAATTTTAATATTAAGAGGAGCACCCTATGTCTTATTTGGAACACATTAAGATAAATATCTATATTTGCAACTATATAAATATAAACAAACAATAATAATCAACGATACATGAGGACCATATTGAAGCAATCATCTCAAATTTTTCATACCAATAAAATTTTACTAGAAGTAAATTGTAAATTGTTTTTCTAAGGCCTAAAAAAGCATGCTGTACTAATAGTATTCTAATTCAGGCCCTGAATTCTCCACATGGCTTAGTTTATGATAAAATTTAAGTCCATATACGTACCTGGGAAGGATCATAGGTGTGGGGAGAAATGGTCTAGTTAATGATTTCCCTAGCCTCTCTTCATACTGGGTTTATAGGAGAGTAATACAGTTAATGCAGTTTAAAACTTCAAGTCACCTAAAAACAAGAACCACAAAGACTTACCAAAGTATCTGTCAGATCCTTTCGAAATACAAACAAACGAGCAGATAACTCAAGAGATTTGGAGATTGCTAGATCATATGGTCGCAATTCGTGTTTTTCTTTAAGAGTAGAGAAAAGAATCATAGTAAGAAATTTTGATTAAATGTATCACATTTATAACTGTAGCTTTTCTGAATCCATAATATTGGGACCAGGATGATCAATAAACCAAGACTGGGTATTTCTGAGCTGTATAATTTACTTCAAAAAGTAAGCAATTTGACTTTTTTAATTAAAAAAATGGAATATATAATTTATTTTTACATATTGATATCTAAAGTCTAAATTAAGAATGTAAACTTTAAAAAAATATTACTTTCAATACAGATAGTCCTCGATTTACAACACTTCATTTAATGGACCATTCAAAGTTGCAACATAACTTATGACCATTTTTCACATATACAACCATTGCAGTATTCCCATGGTCACATGATCGAAATTCAGATGCTTGGCAACTGACTCGCGTTTGACAGTTGCAGTGTCCTGGGGTCATGCTTGCGGCCTTCTGACAAGCCAAGTCAATGGGCAAGCCAGATTCATTTGATAACTGTGTTACCAACTTAAGGACTGAAGTGATTCAACTGGGGCAAGAAAGGTCATAAAATGAGGCAAAACTCACTTAACAAATGTTTCACTTAGCAACAGAAACTTTGGACTCAATTATAGTCATAAGTCAAGGATTATATTTAGAAAACATTCATTTTCTAAAAGAAATATTTCCCACAATTTGCCTTTATGTCTAAATACCATTTGATTACTTCGAATTAGAAACCATTTTCCAGAGTGCATTTTTGTTATACAGTTTTAAATTGCTAACCTTACAGTCTACCATTATCTGTAAATGGAAACCTTACAACATGTTTCTGAAGGAGTGAAATCTTTTTCAATGTAGAAACGAAGTGGAATGTATTACACAACAGAACTAAAGTATTAGCAGTTGTCATGGAAACTACTTTCTGCTGAACAGCTCTTTATTGTAACTTTGGCCATCCAGCTGTGGACCACTGGAGGAGACCTACATCTGCACTAGAAAATAATTTACAGATAAGATACTAAAAATAGTATTAGAATATTAATAGCTGAAAATCATTTACCATCAGAGAATGAAAGAGCTACTAAAGCCAGATCTTCCTGAGAATGTTGGAGCTTCTCTGCTACAATTTTCAAAATCTCTTGAACTGAAGTGGATAATTTAGTTTTTACACTGATGTAAGAATGTTGTGTTATATATACACGGCAAAAAACTGCAAACAGAGGAAAATCATTCCATCAACAAAAGGAATTCTTATTGAAAGATATAAAAACTTTAAGGATCGCACTGTTCTGGATGGCTTGCCTGTCATTTTTTGATAAAGGAAATTACAGGTACTGTAGGATTTGGATTTGGAAAAGTGAATCCACTTAAAGATCAGAGTACAGCAGCTGTAATTTCCGTAAAACAAATGATGACCTGGAATAATAAGTCATCATGTAATCCTGCTATTCATCTGAGGTTGTTTTCACCTAATTTTAAGAACTGGTATGAACCAGATGATTTTTATTATTTCCTGATATTTAAAACCATAGAATTCAAAGAGAGTGTACTTTTCAAATTATTATATTATAAAAGGAATTATTACTTCACCCATATTTTGTGAACGTTGTCAAAGATACATCTTAACTTCTCTTGTATTTAATATAGATTTGGAACCATTGGCCTAGTGGTTTGAACCTAATAGAATTTTTGAAATTTAAAAAAATTGTCTCTTTCATGAATAAATAGGTAGGAATATTCCTAATAAAACATATAGTTGCTAATTTAAATATTGTAGTCTTGTACACAAATTAATAATGATATCAATGGCCAATATTCCTATGGATTTAAAATGAAACATTATTAAAATAAATACAACTTATTAAATACAACTTAAACACATGCAGAATCTCAAACATAAAGAGGAATCTTATCCCTCATAAGTACTTACTTTTATTTGGTGGAATTATCCCATTTGTTATTCTATCTTGTATATATGTATACTATCTGTATATGTAAAGGTGGAAAATTACCTTTACATATTACAATAATTAGTATTTTTCACACTATAAGATGCACATTTCTTCCCCCCAAAAAGTGGATGGAAATGTCTGTGCATCTTATAGAGAGAATGTTGCTTAAGCCCCACCCACCTGCCTGCCCCCACTCTTCAGTCTCTGCCTCCCAGCAATTTGTCTCCTTGCAGCAAACAGCAAACAGCCTTGTCAGCTTCAGCACAGCCTGATTTAGCACAAGCAGCTAATTGGCAGTTCGGGTCAGCCTCCCAGAATACCACCAATCAGCTGTTCCAAGCTGTGGGGATCACCGCTGCCCATCGCCACCTCCACATCCCCCATTTTTGGCCTCCGCATGCCCCATATTCGGCTCATTCCAGATCGACGGTGCTGCCTGGAATGACATGTGGAGGCCAAAAATGGAGCGCACGGAGGCAGCAATTAGCGGTGGCAATCCCTGCAGCCTGGAATAGCTGATCAGCGGTATTCCGGGAGGCCAATCCAACCGCCAATCAGCTGCTCATGGTAAATCAGGCTGTGCTGAAGCTGACCAGGCTTTTTGCTGCAAGGAGGCAAATTGCTGGGAGGCAGATTTTTTTTCTTGTTTTCCTCTCCAAAAGCTAGGTGCATCTTAAATTCCAGAGTCTTATGCTGCAAAAATTATGGATTTTCAAGTTTTGCATTTGTCTTATATTTTAAGAATGTTTGTGTATATGTCTGTATAAGTGTGAACTACGAGTGGGTTCTTTTCTCAGAAACCATTTGAGCACAACTAAAAATTATTACTTGATTTCTCCTTTAAAAGAATTCATTTATTAAAGACTGAAAGATACATCTGGAAGATTTTAGGGTGGAAGTTTAAGATGGATCCCAGAACACAAACAACATTTATATTTTTGAGATAATTGTAATTTGACATTTTTAGATAAATACATCTTTAAAAGTACTTGGGCAAAACTATGAGGCTGTTATATTCTTAATTCTTTCTTTGAAACAAGTGAAGTATTGCAAGAATTTAGATTATCTGAAACTGCAAAGTGGCAACACTTTGCATTAAAATATAAACAAACTTGCAGAGGCCAAATGGACACAACAATAGGTCACTGGAAAAGTCTCCAAAGCCCTGTTTTAAACCAAGTCAGTTCAGTGCCTGGGGCCAATCTAACAGGACTATCTTTCCAGAAAAACTATGACACAGCACAGTTGTTAATGTCCTCCACCTACAGACCATATAATTGTTCCAAAATGAACACCTTATCAAGTGTGTGGCCTTCAATGTTGAGTTAAGTTGTGATGCCTTGGGAAAAGGCCATAGTTGTCATAGCAGAAATAAACAAATTCTTGAAGAATTGCAATGGCACTCCTTCTCCCATATGTAGTAAAGATTGGTATACTATCCAAAATCCAATTGGGAAGATTTGAGGTAAAGGTATCATTCATCATTGTTGAACTCAAACCAATTTTTAATTATATTGGTCATGTGGAGAGACAAGATCACAAGCCTGGCATTTAACAGAATCAACCTAACTCCACAAGGACATTGGATTGTGGCTGGAAGGATGAGGGAAAAGTTGGAATAGGAATCAGTTTCTTTTCCATCCAAATAGCAGATGCTGTTAATATGATATTTATTTCTTTTTGTGTTTCACTCATACTTACCTTCTTCTGTTTCATTCACAGATTCTCTAGTCTGAAGGCAGTTCTGCTTGAGGCTGTATTGATGTAAAATGGCTTTATGCTATAGAGAGTTTTAAAAAAAAGAATGCCAAAATTATTGGATGTTTTAAAAAAGGAAACAAAGAAAAATGTCTATGCACGGTTTGTCTGAATAAACTAATCACATTCTATCCATGGAAAACAGGAGACGTAAAGAGGAATACAGAGTGAGAGAGGGACAAATTTGATGAGAACATTCACAAAACCTTTTCTGCTTCTGATACTTTTATTTTATTATTTATTCATTCATTCCATTTCCATAGCTGCCAATCTCAATCCAATTTACTGCAGGTAGAGAGTGTCACAATAGTTAAAAACATAAAAGAAAAAATGTATAGGCAACAGAAAATTATCATAGTAATTACATAAAAATTGGCAGCGCAACCAGATAATAAAGCCCCTAACATATTTGGGAACCTAGATTCAGGGCATAGACAGATCTTTAAAGCCTTGCAAAAAACTAACATGGTCAGGGCCATCCTAAGCTCCGAAGGAAGGATGTTTAAGGGCATGGGCTACTCAAAGAAGGTATAACTCCTGCCCCCTACTAGCTAACATTTCTTGGCTGATTGACCTGCAGCCAATCTATTAGACTGAGTTGGATGGTTAGAAACTATTGGGAGAAAACATTCCCTTATGTACTCTACTCCCAAGCTATGTAGCATTGTAAATGTGACGACCAACACTTTGAATTGCATCTGGAAACATTCTAGCAGCCAATGCAGCTCCCATAGTAGTGGTTTTACTCATGGTGGATAACTGGCACCATTAACTACTTGTGCAGCCTCAATTTGCACCAGTTGAATATTCCAAATACTCATTAAGGCCAGCCGCATGTAGGGAGTGTTGCAATAATCCAAATAAGAGGTAACTAGGAGCAAAGCCCCCCAGTTCTGGAATGATTGAATTCATATTTGAAAAACTGTTCACAGTTACCCTAGTCACCTCCCATCTTGACTACTACAAATGCGCTCGACAAGGGGCTGGCCTTAAAAATATTTTGGAAGTTTCGACTGGTTCAAAATGAGGTGGCTTTGTGCAAGCCAAGATTTGCACATATGTCATCACTCTTGCAGGAACCACGCTGGCTGCTGATTTGCTTTCAGGCCCAATTCAAGGTGCTGGCTTTCACTTTTAAAGCCTTACATGGCTTGGGATCAGGTTATTTGAAGGACTGTTATTTCTCAGTCATATTTACCCTATCCTTCAGAGTAAGGAAGCAGGGAATATTACAAGTCCACTCTTCTAAAGAGATCCATCTAGTGAAATCAAGAAGGCTTCTCCCTAATGGCTCCCTCCCATGGAATACACATCCCTGCAGAGATAAGTCTGGCCCCTACTTTGACAGTCTTTTAAATCCCTGAAGATATAGTTCTGCCAATAGGCCTGGGGACCCTAAAGTGATAGGGAACTTATTGAGTGATTTATTTGCTTTTGTACTGGGAGTTGTATTTGGGTTTTATCTTTGTAAACTACCCAGAATCACTGGGAATGAATTGTGCAACCATATACATTTTCTAAATAAATAAATAAATATTTTTTTCCTGAAAAGAGTACACTTAAATATCAATTATGTAAATCTGGGAATACATTACTTACACAGGTAAAGACATATATACTATTTCTTTCTGTCATTGCTCTAACATTTGTATTCAATATCTTTGTCTAGTTTTGCTGTCAAAATCTATTTAAATTTAACATTATCTACAGGAAATATCATGTGGTTTCTCCACAATGTACACCAATTTTGCTTTAATGTGCTTTACACTTTAATTTTGCTACAGGCATCTTCTTTTCAGTTCGAACCAGAGTCACATCATTAGCAAACAGTTTTAACAATGCCAACAAAAAGTGTAGCTTGCCTATTTATTTATTTTGGCTGTTTGTTTTCATTAATTAAAAGAATCTAAGGCATGAAGTTACTAAATTAGAATTAAAACAATTTTAGCATCTTTTCATATTACCTTTCTGTGAGGTGAATATTCATCTACAGTGCTGAAAGAAAAATATGTACAATATTCATTTTTGTAATAAAAATGTTTTCAGTATTGGTGTAGATCTCTACCAAAAAACAGCACAGAATCTAATGGCCTAGAAGTTCACACATTTAATTCAACACTTTTAACAATACACCACACTGATTCTAGCTATGTTACTATCATATATGACTAATGATATCACTTATTCTATATGTTGTTATTAGCTAGTATCTGTAACAGCAATTGTTGTAACAGTAATCATTGGTAGGAGCAATATTCTTAACAGTTGTTTACACAAAACTCATCGCCTACATAAAAACTAATCATAAATAAAAACTAACCCTAACCCTATATAGAGATGCCTCCAATATTGTGCTATTTATTTGGTACAATACATCAAATGTAGTATTATTTTCAGCGAGTCAGTTCTTAGTTGAAAATATTTAATAGTAACTTCTATAATAATTGTATTATATAAATGAAAGTATGTAATTATATTTAAACAAATATAGTTGTGTTCATATAATAATTATATAAATGCAATGTTTATGTGCGATGGGAAGAAAAAGAAGATTGAGTTCTGTTAAAATGTCAAATCGACATTCTGTTGATTTAAGTCAGTGGATAAATCTCTCGACACCAAAAAACAACTGACTCCATTGAAAATATGAAGTTAATAGTTATTGTGCAACCACTGCTTCATTGTACTCATGCTTCAAAGAGACAAGAAATAAGATTTGTGCACAATAGACCTCAAAACTGATGCAGATTATTCAGTACTCTTGCAGGAAAAAAAATTGTGCCGTATAGTAAAAATCTGTTCAAACTGCCTTCTCTCTACCTCTTATGCTGTTATTAATTATTTTTAATCCAACAGCTCCATTAACGAACCTTTTTACAATACTATGGAGTATTAGATTGCAATAACATTTGTGTATCAAACCTATTATTTCAAGTTATTCTCTCGTAAATTATGCAAAATCAATGCTTCCTATACAAACATTAAATACTTGAAACCGGAATACTTGATATTACAAAAAAAAAACCAGTTATAATGATGAAAAAACTAATTATAACACTCTAAAGAAAGAAATACAAAATAGGACAAAAAAAAAAAAACTTACTGACGACGATGCATTCCAAGTAATTTCTGAAATCCTTTCAGGTCTTTCTCCAATATGGGATATTCATACACATCATCTAACACATTTCTATATATTGTCTAAGGAAAGGGGAAGTTAAGAGAAAAGGGGGAGGAGAAAGTATCAAATAAATATGTGCTACACTTTTTCGCAAATTCTATTAAAGCAATACTTCAGAAATGTTTCATGTTAAGATTTTCAGGTTGGAAAGAGGGCTTTCAAGTATTTTTTTAAAGAGTCAGTTGGTGTAGTGGTTTAAGGCAAAGAATGTGAGTCCAGGCATAATCAGAAAGCATCATGGTGTAAAAGATTGACTGCAGATTGGCAAAGAAGTGGAACACTGCTGCTTAGCTTTATTTATTCATTTATTCAGCCTATATACTAAACATATACTGAAGAAAGCTGAATTGGAAAAATATTAATGTTGCTTTAAAATTGGAGAAAGGAATTCAATAATTGTGCTTATAATGATGCCAGTATTCTGATAGCTTAAAATACAAGTTATTTGAATGCTCCAGTAATAAAAGTCAAGGAGTGTGGTGGAAAAATGGTACATGATTAAGTATAAAGAAGATCAAGCAAGAAACCAGCCGAATAACTGACAATGGAAACACCAAAGTGATAGACAGCTTTTGCCTTTTAGAATCACCTACTAACACAAAAGGAAATACACAGGAGACTGAGGAAGGCTATAATGGTGGGAAAGATAAGAGGGAAACAGAAAAAGAAGATGACCAGCAGCAAGATAGATGGGAAGAGCAATTATTCTTCATCTAGAATAATGTACTCTTCATCTAGAAGCACCCAATAGAACTTTAAGAGGTAATACGTTATAAATGCTGATCCTATATGCAATAAGTGAGTTTACTTCAAGTATATTAATACGGGTTGCATAGACTAAGGAATGGTTTTGGATTTTTAAAAATGTATAATTACTGTTCTGTATCAGAAAGTATCTAAATAAACATACCATAAGAAACTGCTTCAAATGCTCATCTTCATGCAACCAGTCTTTGTAGAGTGAAGTCCACTGGGACACTAAATGCAAGACTTTTCGTTTTCTGCAGGGAACATCAATGATTTCATCCTTGTCCTGATGGTTCTTAGCACAATAAGTGGAGGCAAATTAAGGTGAAATATTTGTTGTATACTAAGTAATATGTGAAAGCAACTATCTCTTGTCAGAAGCTAAAATTTAGTAAACAAAAATCTTTCTTACATACTAAGTATTGGATGGAAAGAGCTGTCTCTTGTTGGAAGCTAAAGCTTAAAATACAAAAGATAGTAGCATTTCCTATATACATTTTTAAAAAAATAAATCTAAACTTTTTTCTCATCTTTTATTTATATATAGCTTTTTTTTTTTTTTACATTTTCATTCCATCTTCCCTCCAAGATCAGGATAAACGTTTCCCATCTTATCTCGGATAAACGGAACATTGCAAGGGATTGTAATTTCCCAAACATTAAGTATTAATCTAGGTTGTCTTATTTTTTTTCTTAATACAGAAATGATAAAAATAAATAAAAGACAAATATAATTAAACAAAAACTCCATTAAAGAATCAGTACAAGCTTTTCAGAATGATTTATACAGTGAGATGGGTAGCATATAAACTTTATTAATAAATAATTTATATTTGACTTAAATTATTAAAATAAAGCTATACTTAATACAACACTGCCAGTGAAATTCTCAAATGCTATTAGGCTATGGTGAAATTAAAGTAATGGCTATATTATTTATTTTATTATTTATTAATTAGATTTGTATTGCCACCTATTCGCCATGGCAACTCAAGGCAGCTTACTACAAGTAGAACCACAATTTAAAAACAATAAAACTCATAAAATCAAATAAATTAATATAGTAAATTCACCCCCACCTCCCCCCAGCGACAGCAGATTACATGAGCCATTTAATGGGCTCCATGCCGGTCTGGATTCCCCAGGCCCACTGGCAGAACCAGGTCTTCAATGCCTTCCAGAAGAGAATCAGAGTGGGGCCAGTCTAATTTCTGGGGAAATGATGTTCCAGAGGGAGGGGCCACCATGGAGAAATACCTTCTTCTGGATCCCACCAGGTGTATCTCCCTCAGGGATGGGATCCACAACATTCCCTGCCTCCCCGTTCTGATGGGTCAGATAGATGTGATCAGCAAGATACGGTCCCTCAGATAACCCGGTCCCAAGCCACGAAGGGCTTTAAAGGTGACAACCAGCACCTTGAATTGCAACCGGAAGCAAATCAGCAGCCAATGCAGCTCCCGCAGGAGAGGTGATACATGTACACACCAGGGTCTGCACAAAACTGTGCAGGCTGCTGCATTTTGCATCAACCGGAGCTTCCAGATGCTCTTCAAAAGCAGCCCCATATAGAGTGCATCACAATAGTCAAGATGGAAAGTGACTAAGGCATGAGTGACTGTGAGTAGGGATTGTTGGTCCAGGAATGGGCTTAATTGGCACAACCCACAGTTGCGCGAAGGTCCTCCTGGCTGCAATCATCACCTGCTCTTCAAGCAGGAGTCATGAATCCAGAAAAATCTCCAGATTAAGCACAGGATCTGTTTGGGGTAGTGCCACACCATCCAGGACCAAAGATGGCAATTTTCCCTTAGCCAACAAACCCCAAACCCAAAGACAATCAGTCTTGCCAGGGTTTAGTTTCAACCCATTGCTCCCCATCCAACTCCTAACAGCCTCCAGGCACTGTGAGAGGGAGGACATCGCATCACTTAACTCACCATGGCTGAGACATACAGCTGAGTATCATCAGCATATTGGTGATACCTCAGTCCATGGTGGGGGATGATCTCACCCAGCAGCTTCATATAAATGTTGAACAGAGTACCGAGCTCTGTGGAACCCTGTAAAGCAGTGGGCGAGCGTTGGATCTCTTCCCTCCTATCAGCACTGATTGAGAGCAGCTGCAGAGGAAGAAAGTGAACCAGGATAGCACTCCCACTTCCATCCCCCAAATCCATTCCAGAAGAATACTATGGTCAATGGTATTGAAAGCCGCTGAGAGGTCAAGTACAGCAAGGATGGATACACTACCCCCATCCCGTTCCCATCAGAGGTCATCAAAGAGTGTGATCAGTGACATTTCTGTCCCAAAACCAGGCCTTTTATCCTGACTCATAAGGGTCTAGATAATCCGCTTCATCCAGAAACCTCAGGAGCTGCTGCACAACCACCTTCTCAACAACCTTCCCCAAAAAGGGCAGATTGGAGTAAATTATTTTGTAATGCTACATCTGTCCTTCCATTAACTTTGTATGAAAGTTAAAATTGTCCAACCGGTTAAGTCCAGTGTCCAACTGGGTGAAGTCCAACTGGGTGGAGGCAGTGAAGGCTTCTTAACAAGAGAGTAGACCACAGCCTCCTTAAAGTACTGAAGCACCACCCCCTCTTGTAGGGAAGCATTAATCACCGCCAGAGTTCACCTGCCTGTCACCTCCAGGGAAGCCTTCACAAGCCAGGAGGGACATGGGTCTAAAACATAGGTGCTTGCGTGCATACTCCCTAGGATCCTGTCCATTTCCTTGGGAGAATAGGATCAAACTGTTCCCAAATAACAGGGCAAGAGCCTGCCTCAGGGACTTCCACCAGACCAGCAACCATGCTGGCATCTAACTGGGAACGAAGTTGAGCAATTTTGTCTTCCAGAAAATCCACAAATTCTTCAGCACATCCCTTCAGGTAGACCTCAATCTCCTCCTTCCCCAGGAGGATGCAGCTCACCTTAAAGAAGGTCACTGGGCGATTATCTGCAGACGCAATTAGTATGGAGAAATATGTTTACTTCGCCACACGAATCGCCATAAGGTAGGCCTTACTAGCAGCTCTTACCCATGATTGGTCGAGTTCATCCCTTGTTTTCCGCCAACGGTGCTCTAAACGTCTCCTCATACATTTCATCCCTCTCAATTCCTCTATATACCATGGGGCACAGTGGGGTCTATGGGTGAGGAGAGGTTGCATGGTTGTATGAAAATTGAGATTAAGCAGTGGTACATAGATGTATCTACTGCAATGATTAATAAATTCTCCTTAACAGGGGCAAAGAAGCTGTGTAGATTTGTCTTTTATCTAACGTATAAAAATCATTAGATACAATTAGGCCTGAATGAATGATTCCCTCTTAGTCTATAGAGAAGGATATTGTCTCAGCAGAGCTTGACATAAGTCATCTGTTGTCATGAACACTGTGTATGTAAGGAGGAAGTCATCCAGAAGAGTTTCTACAAAGGAGAAGAAAAACAAAAACTGATTTTAAAAAATGTACAAAACAACTGGAGCATTATGTAAGGATATTATTAATAAAGCTGAAGCTACAACAATAAGAAAGTCACAATAAATACAACAGCAAAGTTTCAGATAAATATGTAAATCTGAAAATGGATATGAACTTCAAAAGGATATGGGTCTCCCAGAACAAAATACAAAAGATAATTTCTATTTAAAAAGAATTGCTACAGCACATATAAAATTGACTTCAGCTTTTTAAATGCTTTACAAAATGTAATGTACTTCATTGAAAGATAACTTGCAATGTGATATTGTGTGTACGTATTCAAAAGTAAGGTCCACTAAATTTAACTAGAGATGCGTTAGTAGAGCAGTGATGATCAACCTGTATTAAAAAGCCAGCCATCAATACACCTCAATCAACATCTAAAAAGTCACATACAACAGATAGTAGAAATACCATGCACTTGGTGCTAGAGACAAGTTCCCTGAAGATGAGCTCCAGCATGAGTCCAAAATATTGAAAGACAAAACCTCTGGTGCTGGTGACAGGCCCAGATTGGATCCTGCATCAACCTGTATTATTTACAATGTCCTATTGTTCCAGTAAAATTTATTTATTATACTTTTATCCTGCCTTTATTACTTTATAAGTGACTCAAGATGGCAAACATACATTATACAGCAGACATATCAAAGTTAAGGCTCACAGGCCTGCCATGCATTTAGAGGTCTGTCTTGGAGATGATGAGGGATTGGCCCACCCCAACCATCTGGGTCTCTTTCTGGCGCTCTGCACCCCACCCCTTCCTTGACAGCACCCCCTCCAAATAAAATTGGAACCCTACTTTCTTTTCCTGACTGCTGCCCTGGTATCTCTCCTGCTATCACCTCTGGGGGGGAAGCTGCCTTCACCCCTGACTATTGCTGGCTGGCCTGCCTACTTCTTTAGTGTCTCCCTCAGGTGGAGCCAAGGCCACTGGGGGGGGGAGGCTCTGTGAAAAGGAGAAAGAGAAGGATGAGCAGCTGGCTGAGACGTCTCAGCCCAGCTCCTGCACAACCTTTGCCACTGATGCTGGTGTTGCTGCTGGGTCCCAAAAAGGGGAGTGGAGGAAATGAAGGTCACCATGATTTTTGCCCCTTTCCCGTCTTAATTACCATATTGGGGATGGGGGCAGCTGGGGAGAGCTATCAGTAGCCAGAGGAAGCAAGGTTGCCATGAAGCCTAAGAAAGAAGGGGAGGGGGATGTAGAAATCATAGCATAATCCCTAAAAGAAGCTTAACACCATTTTTTTTAAAAAAATCCCAATTGTACCCATACTTCTGAAAATATAAAAATATCCTATTCCTTGTCAACTAACAAAGTTATTCAAAGCCCAGAAAGTAAGGAAATTTAGAAAGCCAAAAAAGTTAGATGAGATTAAAAATACCGCTAAATATAGCTTACATTAACACAATTCTGTTACCTTTTACCTTTCCAGAAAACTACCTTTTCATCCACCATACCCACATTCCAAATTTGCTCTTAAATATTTACTCTTTCCAAAAGGTTTTTACTTTCTAAGTTATTAACCATAAAGCACACTGATTTCTTGATTTCATGTATATTCTGTATTCTACTTTGTTTTGACCAAATGGAAAATATAGGTAGTCCTCGAGTTATGACCATAATTGAGACCAGAATTTTTGTTGCTAAGCAAGGTGTATGTTTAGTGAGTCGCACCCAATTTACAACCTTTTTGCCGGTGATTATTAAGTGAATCACTGAAGTAAAGTGGATCATGTAGTTGTTAAGCGAATCTGGCTTCCCCCATTGACTTTGCTTTTCAGAAGCTGGCTGGAAAAGGTTTCAAATGGTGATCACATGACTCCAGGATGCTGCAACAGTCATAAGTACATGCTGGTTGACAAATATCCAAATTTTTATCACATAATCATGGGGATGATAAGGGTGATTAAGTGCAAGGAACAGATGTAAGTCATTTTTTTGAATGCCATTGTAATTTTGAATGGCCACTAAATGAATGCTTGTAATTCAAGCACTACCTGCACAACTAGAATAGTCATTAAATATAAAATAGCACGTACATACCACGGGTGGTCTTTACAATAATAGCACGTACATAACAAAGGTGGTCTTTACAATAAACAATTAAACAAACATTAAAAGCAGGAGCAGATCAAATGGATCAATTAATCAGACTAAAGATGTTCACAGGTTATAATAAATGCTATCAAGAAGGGAAGGAAATTTGATAATCCAGATCTATGGCTGCGCGGAAATGGATAAATTCACCCAAAAGTTAAAAGATAATGAAGGCTCAAAATATTATACAGTTTGGGAAAACTGGTATAATTGGATAAAGAATAGAAACCAACGGTAAATAGATAGGGAAGGGAAAATATAAAGAGGTTACGGTAGGAGTATTTACCAGATATGGGAAATAAGTATTGGAAAATTGTTTGATAAGAACGCCATCTAAGCAATTAGAAATGTTTATGTTTTATGTTTATTGGTTATGTTTATCTTTTTGGTTTTGTATTTAATGAAATGTTTTGTACTATGTGTATATTTTTTAATGTTTAACAAAGTTTATTTTTAAAATTTAAAAAAAAAGAAAAAGGGAAAAGGATCTATCTGATCTGGATTAGGATCTCAGCATTGGAAATTGGAATTAGAGTTAAGTCCTACACTGTATGTTTTAAAAAATATACTTAGACCTTTCTTGAAATTGAAAATCATCTAGTTTAATGAAAAGGAGGAATAGGGGTGATACAATAGCAGTGTTCCACTATCTAAGGGGCTGCCATAAAGAAGAGGTGGTTAACCTATTCTCCAAAGCACCAGTGGGCAGGACAAGAAACAATGAATGGAAACTAATCAAGGAGATGAACAATCTGGAATTAAGGAGAAACTTCTTAACAGTGAAGACAATTAATCAGACAGCCTGCCTCCAGACGTTGTGGGTGTTTCATCACTGGAGATTTTTAAGCCATTTGTCTGAAATGGTATAGGGTCTCCTGCTTGAGTCAGGGAAGTTGGACTACAAGACCTTCAAGGTCCCTTCTGATTGATTGATGAATCTGTATACTGCAAGAATAAGAACCATTTTTCAAATAATATCTCAATGTTTGTTACTCCTAAGATAAATAAATCAATATTTTTACTAATAGTTTTATGTTGGCTGCTGCCTGGCCACCATATATGATATTATTTATCTTCCTAATGAAAATGAAACCAACTACTTTTCAATTGTTGATGGTTACAATGTATCAATACCTCCCATCGAACTATTTCAAACAGCAAAATTTAAAATGTGATAATAGATAAGCAGAAAAAATGCATTAAGCCTGTGCTATTTTCACAGCCTCAACCATCCCACTGATTTCAAAGAGAGCTTTCAGTTTAAAGAATCAAAAAGCAGTCACTCGTTGGATAGAAAGTACCCTACACTGTAGCCATGAAACTCCATGGTTCCAATTTCCACATCGTTTTGCACACTCCAATTTCAACTGAACTCAACATGCAAGCGTGAAATTGGCTGGATAATAAGACCTCAGGAGGTTTAACTTTCAGGATTTTCTAATCAGCATTTTGAAAAAGAAAGCCGTGTTTCTCTTCAATAAGTGGGAGTGACTCTCAGAATGAAGAAAGAAAGAAAGAAAGAAAGAAAGAAAGAAAGAAAGAAAGAAA